GACCAGGCCGCCCCGCGCAGTGCCCGCCGGGCCCGGGCTGGTTTTGCTTCTTCAGGCAGCCTGGTGGCATCTTTGGAGCAGGTTCCACGCCAGGTGCCAGACCCGAGAGCTACACGAACGCATCACACACAGAGGTGTGTGTGGCACCAACTGCCCTGCCCTGCCCTGCGGGGGAACCAAACCCCGGGCACAGGAGCCGAACCGAAGAGGAACCAAGTGCTTGTAGCTTGTTACAGCAACATAAGTAGGAACAGAATCCAGACTTCCCAAGTTCCAGGCAGTGCTCTAACCCCGAAGAGCAGAATTAAATATTTAAAATAAAAAGGCTCCCCTCTGCCTGGCTGCCTTTCTTAACTCTTGACACCCATCGTGTTGCCAGTTTGGGTGTAACGATGGTGGTGCTGAGCTCTCAGTACCTGTCACAGCCAGGACAGAACTCAGGAGGAGGGTCTGTCTTCTTAAATAAAGAAATACAATTTAGAAAGCGTTAAGAATTACATTAACCCTCTGCTAGTTATTATTATGTACACCAATTAAAATTAGTTGTCATCATCTGGAACCGACCAGCCAGCTGCTATGCAAAGTAGGCCCAGAGGAAGATCCCAGCACATACACACAACAGCAAGTTGATGTTCAGGACGTGTTTCACCAGCGGTTTCTCCTCCAGGGAAGCCACAGGAAGGGGCTCAGGTTTGGTCGGCACCGCGTCCTCCTGCTTGCGCTCCATCCCGCACAGCCACAGGAAGGTGGTCAGCACCCTCGAGGCCCCTTTGGCCTGAGTCGGACCTAAAAAGACAGTCCATAGTGAGGTGTGAGTGTCACCAACAGAGCAGGCCTCAGGAATGTGTCAGTGTGGTCCTGCACAAAAGGTTTTGATGCAAAACGCACCGGCCTTCTTGAAATGAACACACTAGCTAGGCTGAGATGTAGGAAGCCCTCAGTCAGCACCTGTTGGGGCTGAGCTCAAGTGCTGCTGTTCCCAACATTTTAAGAAATGGTGACAGTAGCCCAAGCTCTGTTGTGGGGGCTCCACACCAGCCATGCCAGCTGGATTCCCCCGGCTCTGGGGCGGGCTGGAGCAAAGCCTGAGGGCCGGGAAGGACCGGAGCCTCCCCAGCAGCTGAGGGGCTGCCCTGCAACCCCCAACCTTCTGATCTGTTCAGCAACTCGTTATGGATCACAGGAGTACACAGCAAAAGCTGCAAAGCGACATCAACAGTGTCCCAAGCCTGGCAAAAACAAGGGAATGAGAATCATCGCTGGAATATGCAGAGTGAGTTACTGGGTATGTTTGTACCTAATACGGACAAGTACAAGTTTTAAAAAATGTAAATCCTCCTTCACTGATCTGTCAAGAACTCCCTCCGCCCAGGGCTCTGGGTTCTCCCTGCTGCTAGAGTCGATCAGAAAACATCACTGAAAAACAGAAATGGAATTTCATGAAAATAATTGTGTTTTTCGTCCACCCTCCCCTTTTCCAAGCAGTTCTCCTTGCAGCAGGAGCACGCAGCACCAGTCTCAGGTGCAGATACCAGGCATGGCTTTCTGCATCCCATCCAGCTCCCTAATGTCAAGCATCTGTAAATGCCATCAAGAGATGGAAAAGAAACTAAACTTCTGCTTAGGTAACATTCTCAGGTAAAAACATTTTAGCATGCCCTGAAGTTACAGAAATCCAGAGGAAGCAGTTTTAATGTTCCTTGTCTTCAAAGGCTTTACACAGTGCCTAGAGTTGTTAGGTGTAGGTATTACTGAACACGATGTTGGAGCACTTACATTTATTATCATTTGAACTATTTTCAGAAGCAATGCTTATATCAATCTGGAGAGCTGGACGCTCAGCTTCACACACTCCTTTTGCAGCATCAGGGCAAGGGCTGACTGCTAGGTCTTTCTTGACTGGTAGATCCCCACGTGTGAACCAGGTAAGCCGACTTATCTGATGGCATGAAGAGTGGAGTTAAAGAAAACTGTTTCCATGGTCGTTTAAAGGACTGCCTTAGCAGCAGAGCAGCCTGCAGAGAGAACACTTAGAGGGGCTGAAATCTGCTCTCCTGCTCTGCTGGAGCAGGTGAACAGCAAAGTGCTCAGCTGGTAACTACAGGAGTGTTGGGTTTGGTTCTGTCTGGAACACAAGAGCTGTTTGTACAGAGACACTCCCTGAAGGATGGCATTCCTCACTCTTACTGAGGAGGAGACATTCTGCACAGGACCATCACTAGATGCAGACGGAGAGCAGGTCAGTGAAGGGAGCAAAAGAATGAAAATTGTGGCCAGGGAAGAATGATTCAAAGAATGGGGGCTGTTGAGAGGACAGGGGTGTGATATGATAATTTTCTTCTAATATGTAAAAGCCTCATTAAAGGAAGAATGTTCTCATTATCAATGGTAGGGTAGATAGGAAGGGATGAATGCAACATGAAGCTGGGAAGATCCAGGTTGGAGACAAGAAAAAACTGCTCCTGGGAGGGCAGGTGGGCTCTTGAGGTGATCACACACCTCCCTGGGTACTCTCCCTCTCTGGCGGTTCCTAAGAATTAAGTTCACCAGGTCTTTCAGAAATACACCAGGTTAGTCCTGACTTGAAGCAAGAGGATGTGTTGGCTCTTGGATTTCTGAAGGTCCCTTCTGGCCCTTCTTTCTGCTCTTACTGTTTCTCTGTAGCCTCAGTGTATCTATGGAGAACAGTCAAACTGGCACAAACCTGTTCCAGAGGAAGTGTGCTCTGCCCTTGATTTCTCTTTCCTGCGAGTAAAAATGGTTCCTCACTAAATTAGTAAGGCAGTTGATTAAGATGACCCAGCAGCTGGAATTTCTTGGAAAATAGAGGGAAAAAGCTAATTGTCATGGGTTAAACACACGCTTGAATTTAAGAACAGCTCTTTGTAGCATCTACTGTTTTCTACCAGTTTCCACAGTGGGACTCTGGATTTATGGGACCAAAATCTCAAGGGGCAGCAGGGAGCTGGAGCAGAGCACCTGCTGTTACAGGTTATTGCAGCTGCGATCAGAAATGAAGAACAAATGCAAAGTGCCATTGCCAGGTTGTTCATCCCCACGTTGTTCCCGTGGGTGTGGTGCGGGGCATCCAGGAAACCCACAGAAAGCAAGGAAAGAAACCCCGAGGGGCGACGCACCATTTCTGCCGTGGGGGGCTCTGTCAACATGCTCACAGCCAGCGTGGTCAGCGTGGAGATGGCAGCCAGGACCATGGAGAAGTAGAGGTAGTGCATGTACTTCACCACGCCCGGGCGGAGGTCGGTGTCGCCGCACCGGGGCTCTGGGTAGATGAAGTCCAGCACCAGCCGGACCAGGCCCAGCAGCAGCCCCACCACCAGGCCCCAGAACGCGCCCTGGGAGAGGAAGGACATTCTGTGCTGGGGCAAGCAGCCTGCACCCACCCGGGATGCTTTCTGCTCACTCGTTTTATTTGGTGGGCTTCCCTCTCCTGCCTTTCCTGCTCTGGCTATCTGGGTCTGCTGCTGCTGGTACCGCAGCCTGGCACCTCTGCTCTGCGGGGGCAAGTAGGCCCTTAATTTCAGTATGGAGGGAAGGTAGAACATCCTCTAAGTGTAACACCTTGCACAGAATACTTTGAAGAGAGATATTTGTATCCTAATGGTTGCCTTAACCCTTGGGATTCTCTGCCTAACCAAAGCTCTCCCTGGGAAGACTTTCTGCCTGTACCCAGCACCAGTCTTTTTGGAGCAACTGGAGGCTTAGGACCCCTGATGCCATTTGGTTGCTCTTCTTCACTCTCTGGAGTCACTGTGCCTTCTGTAGCCCCCAAGTGCAGATGGTACAGTCCATGTAGTCAGCAAGCTGGTGACTGGTAAAGCCCCTCACAGGCTTAAAGTTTTCTGAAGGGCATTCTGCCACCCAGCAACACGGTCACCTCCCTGCTGCTGAAATGCCAGGGCAGTCTGAAAAGCAGCAGTAATTGCTGCCTCCTGCATGGTGATGTTTGCCCAGCTGTGCAGAGCCCGGGGTGCAATCCTCCTCCCAGACCCCACCAGAGGCAGCAGAGCCCAGCCTAGGGTGAGGGTTTGAACTGCAAGACTCTCCTGGGGACAGTGAGGCCACAGAGCAGACTGTGCTGAACACAGAGGAGTTGTTACCTTTTCATTAGTTCTTTTCCAGAAGCAGCCCAGTATAAACACCATTGCCACGGGGGGCTGCAGGTAAGAGCTGATGGACTGGATGTAAATAAAGAGCTGCCCTCCCTGGCCAGCCTGTACCAGAGGGATCCACAGGATGGAGATCACAGTGAGCAGCAGCACAAAGACCCTGTGCAAGAATATTATGCCATTACTGTTTGCTCAGGCCACCCTTTTCCAATTGTTCAGCTTGCAATGCTCCAGCTGAGATCTCTCATAGCCACAAGGCCCCACTCCAGCCTTCCAGCAGACCTGTGCTGCCAGAAGATGCCTCATGGTTCTGGGGGCAGCAGGCTGCAGGGCATCTCGAGATGTGTCCCTAGTGCTCCAGCCCTGAGGTACTGCCCGTGTCCTGGCTCTCCTACCTGCCAACAATCATCAGTTCCCACTCGGAGCAACGGGGACGGAAGTGTTTCCAGAGGTCCATGGTGAAAATGGTGCTGGCACTATTAAAGATGGAAGTCAGGGAGGACATGAGAGCTGCTATCATCACTGCCATCATCAGGCCCCTGAGTCCTGGAAACAGAAGGAGAAGTGCAGTTGCCCTGAGGAATCCCCAGCAATCCCACTGTAGGGTGTCCTCAAATTCCCCTTTGAACTAGAACAGACTTTAAACGTTTTCAGCTTCACTTTTAAAATAGCCAGTGATAAGGAGGTGTTAACAGTTCATTACCATTGTTAAACACCTGTGCTTCATGTCTGATCCAAATTTTACTAAATTCTATCTCTGGATAGTGAACCATCACCCATCTGTCTCTTTTCACAGAATCACACAGAACCACAGAGTGTTAGGGGTTGGAAGGGACCTCAAAAGATCATCTAGTCCAACCCCCTGCCAGAGCCATGTTGCTGGCTCATGCTCATCCTTCTGCCCACCAATGTCATGCTGTCCCTTTGCCACTGCCCCACCAGGCCCAGCATGAACCCCACTGAAATGATAGTTGCTGGGTCTTTTTCTCTCTGAACTTCTCTCCCAGACACCTTTTGGCTGGTGCACACCTGTCAGTGCCAGCACCGGTACCAGGCTCCTTACCTATAGGCAGAAGCTCTATGACCAGCTTAGGATAAGCAATGTCAGAGCAGCCAGAGGGGTTGCCACAGATTTTCCGGCAAATTTCCGCGTCTGCACAGGCCACCAGATCTAAGAGGAGGAGAGTGAGAGGCAGGGGGGGCAGGGGGAGGCA